CCATTCTGCCAGCATCCATCCCAGTGGCCCCCGAGCTCACTCCCAGAGTCCTGCAAGCTGATGCCCTAGTCGGGCTGCCAGGCGTTCATTGTGAAAGGAGCATCTTCCTTCAGGTTGAGTTTCTATTTACAGGAATTCGGTCCCTCTGCTTCCAACTCACATTCGGGTCCTTTAGGTGAAGTCTGAGTTTTCAGATGTGGTGAAGGGCAGCGCAGTGACGCCGTTAGGACACGGAGAGAGTTCTCGCCACCACCTAAATCACTAAGAGAAGGGATCTCAGGCAGCCGGGTAGGAGGTGCTCTTCCCCAGAGCCTGAAACCTGCTGCTAGTTCTTCTAAAATGGGGGAGGTGTGCAGGCGGAGGTGCCTTCTCCCTTCTTTGAGACTCTGTAAGAAGCAGAGCTACGATGCAGCTAGAGTTCTTTCTGGGGTTCTGCTATCTTTCCTTCGAGAAAGCTCTTCCCGGTGGCTGGCTCCAGGCTGGTTCTCGCATTGTACCTGGTCCAATCTGGCAGGCGGTGGATGGGCCACTCATCCAATAATTTGCTCTCCTCAAAGTCCATCCTGAGGTGATCTCTAAGATCAAGCAAGGTCTATGGTTTTCTTTCTTCACCTCCCACTTCCACGTTGAAGTGGGTCACCATAGTACAGAATGACTCCCCATATCCCAAAATTATCCCTGCGATGCGAAACCTTCCCTCGACTTCATTATTGTTTCCCTATAGAATAAAAACCTCAAATGGGTCATATGACATTTTCCTGTGCTCTGGCCAGGCCAGAATTCCGGACACACACACACACACACCCTAAAAGGGACACTGCTTTCACACTGGTGCATACAAGATTGAGGTTCCTCAAAAACTCAACTTCCCATTTGCTCATTCCCAAATGGTCTACTGGTAAGGATTCTGAGGAGTTAGCTTCTTGGAGAATTTCTCCTTTCTCTCTCTCCTAGTCCCCTCAACTCCCTGTCCCTTTCTGAATCTTTCTTGCTTTGCCATTTTCTCCTTGCCCCCAGCCTGCCTGGAGTAGAAGCCAGAGGGTAAGATGTCCTGCAAATGCAGCTCATAAAGCTGCTTGGATACATTAGAAACACATGAATATCCCGAAATACAAAGTGTCTTTAAAACCAGCCACGGAATGTTTATCCTAATACCAGATCAATGCAAAGAAGTAGTTCCAGAGAATGGTGCTGACAGCCTCTTCCAAGTTAAAGTGAGAGCAGGTAAATTTAATTTGCTAATGAAAATCAAATTCGATTAGACTTCCGTTTCCCTTTGTCCTTTTCTTCTCCAACACTAGAAGCCCAGGGTCCTGTAATCCTAGTTGATCAGGAGTCCTCTATCAAGAAAAAAAAATATGCAAGATGAGATGTAAGAGGGCTGTCAAAGCCCATGGACCCAGGCTTGCACTGGTAAAAACCAGGAGCTCAGGAAAAGCCATGGAAACTCCTTGAACAAAGGCCGGGTTGTAGCCACGCTGCCACTGAAGGCCTTCGCTGATAAATCTGGGTACATCACACAAAACTGGGGCATGGAGGGAGACTTCTCTAGCTTCCAACCCAGCCTGGCTCTTGGTTCCTGAGCTCCTATGGCCACTATTGCCTGAAGGTGACCGCGAGTGCCCTGACTTCTCTTCCCTAAGCCATGGAGAACCATGTTAAATTACTGGTGCTTCTGCAAGAAGAAGAACCCCAAGTCTGGAAGACAAAAAGAGCTCAAAAAGTCAGGCCCTGCTAGCTGGACAAGCAAAATTTTCCTGTGCCTTTGATAAATGAGGAGGAACACTGGGAGAGACTGCAGGCTTTCCAAGAGCCAGGCTTCATCCACCAGCCTTTCTTTCCCCACACCAAGCTGATCTGGGACAGCCTGGAGCATTGTATAAGAAACTATTCATTCATCTCTTCTCTCCCTCTTTGAAAGACTGAGGAATTACTGTTTTAAAGTGAGTAGAATTTCTAAAAAGTCTTACCCAAAATTATTCCCAGAGGTCATTATAATTCTAGAAACAATTCCCAATGATGCCTACAGCTCAATAACTAGCAGGACATGAAGATATTTTAAAACAGTAAAGATTTGACACAGGAAGGGAAGAAGGAGCCAGATATGCTAATATGCCCCTGACACACTCCTAGTAGAAAATCCACAACGATGTATAAGATTTAAGACAGGAGGAGAACAAGGATGCTACTTTCTCTAAATAATTCTGTCTTGGATATCTCTCTCTCTCTCTCTCTCTCTCAAATTGATAAGAAAATATAAACCTCAGTAATTCAAATTCAAAATCCTTCCACAGTGGGATGCCACGTGCAGGAAGCAAAGCCCAGTGAATTCAAGATGCAGCCCAAAGCCTCCCCGCTGCTGTTCTTCCCAGACAAACCTGGCTTCGGGTTCCTCTGTGAAAAAGATGAGTTCCTTTCTCACCATTTTTGGAGCCGAGGGACCCAGCCGACTTTGGCAGTCTGTAGAGCTGAGGCCCTTCCCCGAGTGCAGGGCTCCCGGCTCCAGTGAACTGAGGGGGAAGGGAAGAACGTGGAGCCGGTCTTGGCTGCTGTGTGTACCAGCAGTACAGCCCCTGCCAGAGGTGAACTGGCATAGGCATCGGCTGGTGGAGGCTTCCTGAGCTGTGTTTTCGTTTTTTCCGAACCTAGCTGGAAAACTCCGGAGGCTCGGAAACCCAGCTAAGAGCAGGGCGGCAACAGAGAAGAATCAATCCAGTCTGTAAACACCGCCCCCAAAACTCTACAAAGAGCAAAAGATGATGCTTAGAAACCAAACAGAGCCAGAAGCCAGAACTGTAAAGGATGGGGGGATTGAGAGCCAGGGGAGGTGAGCAGCCGGCTCTGTCTCTGGGCTTTCATTGTAGTTTCTCACGCTGACTAGACAGCAACTTTCAACTTGACCTTGGCCTCCAGCCGTGTCTGACCTGTATGTAAACTGCCCTCAAGCCCTCGAGTCTCCAAGAATTGGAGCCTGGAACCGTACTTGGTCTCTTTGTCACTGTTGAGTTTTACAATGCCACTTAGAGGGAGGAAGGAGTGGGGAGACCGATGAAAAGGGCTCCGAAGTAACACAGAAATTAAGTCTTCACAGAGGTTGGTGCCTTAGTCTGCAAATGGCCAGTCAGTAAGAAGGTAAACTGGGGGCAAATCAATATTTACCCAGGACTGCTAAAGTCAGGAGGGAAAGGACACGCTGGGTGTGGGAGAGAATTGGGTGTGGGGATCAGGGAAGGTTTTATTGGGCGAAGCTTAACATTAGTCAGAACAAACCCAGAATCCCGGCAGATAAAAGCCTGCGCTTCTCCTTACTGGTCCCAGTCTTGCCAGAAGCCCAGGGGGCTTACAGAGCAGCAGATGAATTGGGTGGTATGTGTGATGGTCTAGCTTAGGGCTAAGTCTACAAGCTGGGACCAGAGGATAGGTCCAAGCCTGGCTGCCTACCAGAGCGTTTGCCCAAAGACAGTACAGAACTCTTGCCAGCTTATAGATTCCAGAATGCACCCACTTTCACTTTGACCGTTTGTTCCCTTCTGGACATCTGACCAGTTCACAGTTGCACAAGCAGAAATGGATGTGTTTCTAAGGCGGCAGGGTCCCCAGAATCCTTTACCAAAACACTGTGGCTCTTCCAATACAAACACCCCACCAAGCTCCCAGGTACAGAGGCTGGTTCTCCAGCACCTTGAACCCACTACAGGCTGAGCTTCTACTAGGAGGAAAACCATGAACCGAGCCCAAAGATCCTCTTTCTCTTTTCCCAAAATGGATTGCAACTGGATTTCCAGGTGTCTGAAGTGTCCTGTCCAACTCAGAATCTATGGAGTGGTTTGTAGGAAGCCCCAGAACCGTGGCTGGAGTTCCTGCCAGCAGTCCAGCTGGGGCCTGTTCTTCTTAAACCCCTTCAAGAAAAGGCAGCCGGATTCCTGAGACAAGAGCATGAGTGAATAGTGCTTTCTTCATCTGAAATCCTCTGCGGACCAGAAAGAATAGTTGCTGCACCGGAATGAATAGCAAGCTGTATATACAAGTTGGACAATGTCTCTCTCTCTCTCTCTCTCTCTCTCTCTCTCTCTCTCTCTCTCTCTCTCTCTCTCT